TCCACCTTTATTCTTTTCTTTACAATAAGGCTTTCAAATAAGTCATGGCTGTACGGCAGTGAAGCATTGGTGTTGAGCACTGATGTCATGCTGTCGTTGATGATGATGATGATGATGATGATGATGATGATGATGATGATGATGACAATGATAGATTGCAGCTTCGCTGGATGCTTTAACTTTCCTCGAAATGTTATCCTTACCTGTCGCATACTTAAATGTATACTGACGTGACAGTAGTATGAATCTTACAGAGAACCGTAAAAGGTCTGCCAAGCATGTTAAAATTGGATGTATCTAACAATCATGAAAACATTTTAGTAATCCATCATCATGGTGCCCAGCGGAAAACCTGCTTGTTGTTCTGCTTTCAGTAGTGTACGAAAACTAGTCGATCAAAGCTGACTATACCAACAACTGTGTATCCGATCAAATTCCCCTTTCTGATAACCATGATTGCAAGAGTTTTCCCCCTAAATACCTTTCGTTCGATAGCATGTGAATGGGCTAAGTTCGCCGTTGTCGTTGACTCGTTTATTTCCCCCCTCACCACCACGTGTCTGGTCTGGGTCTATGACCATCCTTTACCAACCATGTGTCTACTAAGATTAGGGTGGATGTGGTTCTCTCCTTTACCAAGCTATTAAGCAGTTTATTGGGGAGTAGCTTCATGACAACCACTTCCCGAATAGAGAATGATATGGTAGCTTTTTGCTTGTCTATCATTGGTGCATGTTGTATACCTAACTTATGAGTATCTATCTCTCATTTTCTAATCCAGTTTTCAGTGGAAATTCTTGTATGCCAGTCTTTCACGGTCCTCTCATTGTCTTCTGTCCTTACAGTGAAGATACAGAAATCGATACAAATTACCATGAGGTGGTTGATAGCTTCGACAAAATGGGCTTGAAGCCCGAACTGCTTCGCGGGATTTACGGTTATGGTTACGAACGGCCATCTGCTATCCAGCAGCGTGCTATCAAACCGGCCATTGAAGGGCGTGATGTAATCGCTCAGGCTCAATCTGGAACGGGAAAAACCGCGACATTCGCCATAAGCCTTCTGCAGAGAGCCGATTTGACCTCTAACCAGTGTCAAGCCTTGGTTCTTGCCCCAACGCGTGAACTCGCACGACAGATTAAACTTGTACGTCCTCGTGGTAACTTATGTTTAATTCCATCTTAGGTGGTGCAGCGTATAGGGACGTATATGAATGTGAGGTGTCATACATGTATTGGTGGCATGAGTGTGATGCAGGATGTTGCAACTTTACAAGAAGGTCAGCACGTTGTTGTCGGGACACCAGGTCGTGTGTTTGACATGATGAATCGACGCGTCCTGACCACATCTGCGATCAAGATTTTTGTCCTCGATGAAGCAGACGAGATGTTGTCGCGTGGTTTTGCCGAGCAGATCAAGGATATCTACCGGTTTCTGCCGGATGATGCTCAGGTACGTCGACTATGTTCTTTGTCTTTTAATAGTTTATTTTAGATTATGCTCTTGTCGGCTACCATGCCACGAGACATGCTGGAAGTCACAAAGAACATCATGAAAGATCCTGTGAAGATTTTGGTGAAGAAGGAAGAGCTAACACTGGATGGCATCAAGCAGTTCTACATTAACGTATCCGAGGAAAAATACAAACTTGACACGCTAATGGATTTGTACGGCATTATGCATTTAAGTCAAGTGGTCATTTTCGTGAACACGGTGCGGAAAGCTGAAGCCCTTTACAATGAACTGATCAAGCAGAAATTTAATGTTTCGTGCATGGTATATCTTCCATTTATGTTTTATTAATACTCGGTTAAGAACAGCGACATGGATCAGGAGGAACGTGATCGCGTCATGAGTGAATATCGCAGTGGCACCTCGCGAATCCTGCTGTCCACAGATGTGTTAGCCCGCGGTATCGATGTGCAACAAGTCTCCCTTGTTGTCAACTATGATCTTCCAAGTAACCGCGAGACTTATATTCACAGGTTGGTATTTATTGTTCGGTCGCTCGCTTACGGCTAATCGCAATTCTCTTCCAGGATAGGTCGTGGTGGACGTTTCGGTCGTAAGGGTACTGCAATCAACTTTGTCACGCAGTCAGAGATGGACGTCCTTTGTGATTTGATGAAGTATTACAACACGGAAATTGTCGAGATGCCTGATGAGATTGCTGACTTCCTGTAATTACTTGATCAACTCACCGATACAAAAAGCGACCCCTACTTGAACTGTTCCGGTTACTCTGTGCATCTCTGTCTCTGCTGTCCTGAGTGAACAGTAAAACAACTCCAACTTGTGAATTGTCGGTTCCCCTCATTGTGTTCTATTTTTCCACATCCTAACTCTGCATAGGTTCTGCTCTATTTCTACTGCCTGCTGCTCTATCTTAATTCTCGGTCACATCGTGCCGATTTTGGTTGTTCCTATTGTTAGACTGATGTACCGCAACAACGCGCTTGTCTCCATCCCACGCAGGCATACTCAGTTCCGATATTTACATTTCCAGATGCATCCGGTTTTTTTCAGGATATGTCTCTGCTTTTCCTTCTCTCTAGTGTGTCGGCGACGATCCTATTGTGCACCACGCTCCTCACACCCGGAACACACCTCTGAACATACATTTATTTGGAAGAAATGCTGCGCTATTATATTACACAAAGGCCTACTCCGTTATGCTGGCATCGGTTTCCGGGTGGACCCACCGATGAGCACTCGATACGTACGGTTTGCGCTGAGCCACATGTGCACCCACCAGGTCTCTCTGTACCCGGTGTAATCTCAAGCTAATAGGTTCGGAAGGCAAACAGGAGAGAACAGTTCAAAAGCCATCAGCAGCTCCAGCTGATTGCTATAATTGTCAATTCAAATAAGTGAAACTCAACAATTAAGTATCACAGTGCACGCAAACGGTCATCTGATGACTCGCACTACTCAGGAGACGCATCATGGACACGCCTTATGGTTAGTAGCGCTAGCCATCATTCTACTTGCCCTGCACAATGATTAGCCCACTCTGGTATTGCTATAGACTTAACACTCCGAAATGTCCGTAGTGTTAAAGGGGGTCTTTTGCAGATGGATACAGTAGACATAAGTAGGATGCATTAATTCACATCTTAAAACAAACAAACTGTACGTAAAATAAATTGGAGATGACAGTGAACAACTTTTAACCTTCGAACTTAACCACATTCCATCAGTGGGTTATCGCTTACGGTTCTCGTAGGTCTTCCCGGTGGATATAACCAAACGGTTGTTACTCGGTGCATGTATAAATGGTCTTCTAGTAGCCAGCACCACCCACGATATGCCCCAATCTAAGTATGGCCAACCAACGCTAACCACTACTTCTTAGTTTATACAGCGATAGCCACAGGAGTCAACTCTAAACTCGTTGTAGGCTGAACATTTCGGGATATTGATGGGATCAAGGAACACAGTCAGACACAGATGGGAACAACCTTACATATTGTTGTGATTCGGCATGGTTCCGTCCACAACGATGATGATAATTGAAATTCAGTTCTAGCTCAGTGTGCCAAGGTGTTTTGACAGGTCTTGGTCTGTATGCTGATTGTCACGGGAAGTCATTCCTAACATCCTCGCATGCTTAGTCGTCTGATGGCCTCACAGCGCTCAGGTAGGTCTCGTGTATTTCATCCGCCGATCCTTTGCCAACAGATAACTCTGTCCTCTGGTCCGACCAAGACAAACTTGACTGCTGTAGATTAAGGCTGTTCGATCTGTAGATTCAACAGCTTCAAGTACGTTTTGCATGCCTCAACTCTCTGGTGGTCGTTGAACTGTCGAGCTATAGTTCATATCGCTTCCTTTCATGCCGTTCGGTTTTGTGGCTCCGTTTCCCAGTGCCCAGTACCAAGCTGGAAAAATCTCGCTATGTTATTGTCAATCAAGTGATGGGGGTAGTTCATATCGCTTCCTTTCATGCCGTTCTGTTTTGTGGCTCCGTTTCCCATTGCCCAGTGCCAAGCTGGAAAAGGCTCGCTATGTTATTGTCAATCAGGTGATGGTGAAAAACCTTGTATAGCTATGGCGAGTAGTTTGGGGTTTATGCATCACTTGGTTACACGAGCCATCGTTTTCAATGCTTGGCGGCCAGCGTACTGTGGTTGCTCACAGTTATGCTTTCCAATTATATGGATTTCTGGTGTGGATTGTTTGCTCTTCTGAATGTTGGTTAATTCGAACTTCAGAAGTTAAAGTCAATTGTTTTTTGCTACTCTTAACAAGAGTAGAACCTCCGAAAGTAGGTGCTGTTTTTCAATCATAACGCACATGTGTCTGGTGTCTTGACGGGCGCGCTCGTCACATGGAGCACATGTTACGGCATAGCCGTTCATGCCCCTCGAAGTTGTCTTTTTTACTTGGCTTCTAGTTCTGCTAATCTTGGAGAGTAAGCCGAGTAAAAAGGCGCTACCTTACCCTCACCACTACTGAGCTGTCTCGATCATTTATTCGTGTACGTTCTACGAAACGAAATTTCCGCAAGTGTGGTGCTCCATGACAAACTCAGTCAGCCTACTTGTCGAGCTAGATCCAATCAATGCTACTATACGAGCTGGATCACTGAGTCAGATGGCCTAGACTAGACCGAGACAGACAAACGGAACAAACGAAGAACCCAACTTCTGGTCTAGACCGATAAGGGTCACGGGGTACGAACCAGAGATTAAGTCAAAGACCAAGGTCAAAGGTTATGTAGGCATTGGTTAACCATAATGAGTGAAAAATCCGACCAGCAGGAGTACCCACCTGAGCAACCAAACATAATCGAAGTTTACTGTGTTCAGGAGCATATACACCATAACTTAACGAAAACCACCTGCGCATCGCTTTGTTCCGTTCCGCAACTACGCACTGATGGCCCCTTTTAGTTTGGTGACGAAACATTTGCATCAGAATGGGGAACTCAGGGACCAAATCAACCAACAACTGACAAACCTAAGCTACGAACTCTGTATCTTGATGCATAAGGCATTTGACAATTGGAATCGAGCAAAACTGCGATGTATGTTTCACAGATTTCAGCAAGGCTGTTCTCTTGGGCTGGTGAGTTTTCGGTTTTAAACAATACGCAGTTTACGCCATGTGAGAATGAATGAGTCAGTGGTGGGAAGAGGGTGGGTTTGTTGGGCAGCTGGTCAGGATTTGCCACCCGTACGAAATTCTGCTGTCTGGTACAACCTCACCTGTTGAATTGGTAGATATCGAAGGCCGAGATTTTTGAAACATCGCTGTTCGGTAATGTGTTGGAATATTGGTGTAATGATGATACTATTGATCGGGAGGCACACGAGTAGCATGTGTTGTTCGTAGAATTTCGCTTTGCGTCGATTGAAAAAGGGAATTCTGTTGCGGAATTCGTGGGGCCACTTTGTAACATTTGCTTGGATTTGAC